GTGCACTTGCTGCACTGGCTGCTACTTGCTCTTGAAGTGAACCTGGCCTGAATCAGCGAAGGAGTCGGGCTACACTGGGCTCCTCGCCTAAACGGAAGGTAGCGCAAAAGCCGCCACCACAGTAGATGAGAGGCCTCACAGTTAAGCCGAATTCAGCCCGAGCAGACCGCCAAAGAGAATTTGTACAACTTCTAGTGTAAAAAAAGCACTGATCTGTGCTGATGTGTACATTGCCCTTCCCAAATGCTGAAGTCTCAGGGCTTCCAGGCTCCTCTATTGAATTGTCTCGAGCTGCTGCTGAGCTTGGCAGCCCTGCGAACGTGAGGCAAGTGTAAACTGTGTAAACTGTGTAAGGCTTTCAAAAACCTTCAGATGTAGCTGGTGTTTGTGGTGTATGGCGATGTGAGACGTATACAATTTGTATCTGGCTGCTCCAAAAAAAAATAACGAAAACTCTTTCACTTTCAGGCAGCCAGAGCCTGAACCAGAAAGTGTGTAAATCATCTTGGATGGCCAGCCAGGATCAGTCATCAAAAGAAGATCGTTCCAAACCACAGTGCAGACATTGTAATGTATCTCCCGCAGTGGTTTCAATGTGGAATGATGTGAACTATTTTAGTGCCTTGCATCCTAGTCGTAACGCATGCCAGCTAGTTCTGACCTGCTGTGGTGGTGAGCAGCAATCCTCGACGGCCTCGTGATTCTTGGAAACATGGCAAGGAATTTGCAGGTCTTGCCAAGCAGGTCTTGCCAACCCTGTTGTCAAGTCCCCCAAGTCTTCCAAAGTTCTAGCAGCCTTGCCTAGTCGAACCGGATGCTCGGCCTGACTGCGGCGATTGACGCAAAAAAACGCCGTGGCCCAGCAATGCACTACATCTTATCCAGCACGATTCGGTACTTTGCCATGCTCAAAATGACAATATGTTTGTTGATTGATTGCCTTTCCAACTCTGTCCTTGCCTGGGTATGTTGCAAGACAACCACACATCATAAGCTGGTACGCTAAGGTATGAAGAAAGCACCTTGCAGTGCAGCTACTGCCGTAGATGTACATACATGGCAAGCATAATTTCAGAACGCAAAGCTGGATATGCTGGATTCAGATTCAGCCGGGGTGAGAAGTGGAGAAATTGATGCAACATGCGGATCGCGCCTCCTGAACCTCTGGAGCCAACCACGTGCCTAAGGTGGCCACTAGGGTCCATGGATGATACCGCAGGGATGGAAACGGACGGGGATGGTTAGGAGTTAGGGCTATTGGGGCTATGCTATCAATGACTAAGTCCACTTTGTCAAGAAAGGTTACATTCGCGGTCACGGTGTGAAAGCTGCTGAACATGCTGAACCTTCAAAAAAGATCTTGTGCAACTGTGAAACTGTACAAACTCACAGCATTTTGAGAGCGTACGATGGTCGACTCTGTAAAGCTCGGCAGCATGGATGATTTCTCGGCTTCCTGGCGGCCAGCCAAACCTGCAAAGACCGCAAGCAGCCATGGCAGGCGACGCATGGCAGAAGCAAGGTCAAAAATATCCACATCGATGCAGGTGACATGGGGGGTGCAATGTTGTAGTGTTGTCTCGTGTCTGCATTCTGCTTATTGAAACCAAAGTAGCATACTGCTTTGTATGCTGTGTGAGTGTTTGTTAGTGCATTTCTGGTTTGCTTTCGGAGAAGGCTGACAGGGATGAAAGGGAAGAAAGGGATGAAAGGAACAGGTGCATCAGACTAAATGTGTGTGTTTACTGATCTACACAAGTGTCAGTAAGAGTCTCATCTTGGTCTGGTTGAAGTCTGGATTCATAGTGGATCAATTCTATCTGGTTGGGACCTGATATCTCATGAGCTATGTGGTCGTCTTGCAACATTCATGGTCAAGCGGCTGCAAGCCCTGAGCTGTTCCACAATGCAGAACGTGGCTAACTAAATTGAAGAAAAAAGAAATCCAGAACAGCAAAAAAAAATGTTGCCAATGGATGCCAATGGATGCCAATGGCCAAAGCGGGGCAAAAACACGCTGATTGACGCTGATTTTTGACAGATCTCCCACAACTCAGACCTGTGTGGAACTGAGGTTCCTTGGCATAGGCACGGAGAGCAACGCCAGGATATCCCAGGACACCAAGCACTCAAAGGACGTGGAGATAAGAAATTCATAAAAATTCGGTGTAGAGATTTTTAAAGCAGCTTTCAAATTGCACTACTTATCATGCCATTCTGTGTTGCTTGAAAGTGTGGAATGAGCAACAGCTCTCTCAGGGGTTTAAAACAAAAAGAGTGAAAATAGAATGAATAAAAAAAAACTAGAGGCTGAAAAAAAAAACTTCACCAGCTGTAGCTGGCTGTAGCTCGATGTCTGAAACATGTCACCTGCTGGAGCTAACCGCACCAGCCATCATACTTATGCTTTTGGTGTCATATTGACATGAACTGTACCCAAAAAACAAAGCCCAAAACTAAAACCACACATCAATGAAGCAAAAAGGACAAAGCACAACTGAGCCTCGGACAGGAGGGCGCCACAGTTTGCTAGAACTTGCTCCGCCAGGCATCGCAAGCTCCATCATCTGAGTTTATCCGTAATCTTAATCTGATTTTTTAAGTACAAAGAAGACAAAGAAGTACTGCGCATCTGTTGACATTATTTAAAATCATAAATAATCATTTAAATGGTTTTGTAATGCGGTTTGCAATGCCTGCTGTCCCAAGCGATCAAATAGATTGACGGCGGGCGGAAGAGGCCACTGCCGAGATTGAGTAGTGCTGACTCTCCTTGCGCCAGAAGTGGTCGCAAGAACAGGAAACGAAAGCTGCGCAGCTACAGCCATACTCAGAAATATATGTGTTGTGAAAAAATGGAATATGCCACCGTTCAACAGCGGGAGAATGGGAGCACTACTGACAGCAAGAAAAAATGCTGTTCAGGGAGGTATTGTTGCGCGACGCAGAGGCCTAACGCAAGCTGAAGTCGACAAAAGCTGCTCCAACCGGCTCCAAGGTACTCCATTTGTCCATCTTTTTGCGGAAAAAGTAATCCTGTTGTGTCGCTCATGCCACTTCCGTGTGTCTCTCTCTCTCTCTCTCTCTGTGTGCCACGTCTTTTAATGACCAACTGAGAACAAATGGGTAGATTGGAGCAGAGGCTTTTGCAGCTGCGTGACTTCAGGATTTCATGAGCACGAGGGCCTATCATTTCAAATGCCAAGCCCTGCTGTCCAGAGTCTTTGCAGTTGTCCATACTACGGTCCGATTGCAGCCACTATTCTTTGCCACAGACCCAATAGACTCAATAGACCATATTCATTGTGCCAATATACCACAGCATACCACAGCCACACACATGGAAACCGATTTGATGTGCACGCTATATCGGCATGAATTTGGAACTATGATCAGGAGTTTAAAACACAAAGACTGAAGAAGTGATACAAAGTGCCGAAAAAAGCACCCTAAAAATGGCTCCTGCTCTAGCAGCAGTTCAACGCTTCAAATAATCTAGTTTGCTTCGCATGATGAAGGTGCCAAAGAAAGTTCTGAGTGCAAGAGCGTGCATCAAAGTTTCAATCTATTTCAGAAATCAGATTGTTACAAACTTACAAACTTCAATTGGAGATTTAAAACACACAACAATTGCATTCCTCTGGACGGCTGAAATCGATTATGCACAACTCAGTCACTGTCTGCCGGAAACTCAGAGTGCCATCAGCAACGCAGCTCGTCAGTCACTCATCACTTCCGGATGCCAATGACGGAACACAGTCCAAGAGATCTTCTGGATGTGGCAAAGTCCAGAGCTGTTGAGGTTGTTTTGCAAAATGTTGCAAACACTGCAATTGCTACATATTGCTACATATTGCCACAAATTGTTACATATTGCTTCAACGGCAACGAGCAAGGAGCAAGCGAAAAATAATACATCCAGAAGCCTCAGTGCAAACTCTGACTCCGGCCACCTTACCTTCTGCTTCGAGGCCGTGTGCCCTTGGAAGGCTTAGCAAATGTAAGCAAAGGAGCAAAGGCTAAGATGTGAGCTTTACGACAAGTTCTGCTCTGGGAGTCATTTTAATTGACATGCGAAGCCCAGCTGCAGTCCGGCGAGGATGATGCGTGCGTTTGCTTTCTGGGCTCTTTCGCCGTCTTGAACGGCAAGCTGCAAACTGTGCATAGGGGGAAGTGATCGCGGTGGTTTCAAGAAGCCAAACAGTGGCCATTGCTAACCCATTGCTAACCGGCTCTGAATCTGCTCAGACTATCTGGATATCTCTGGCTATCTCCTGTTGCTTGATTTTACCATCATCCTGGTGCCATCATGCACTAGATTCTCCAAGTGCTTCCCTGAGGGAATGCCAGAGTTGGTGTTCAACCTGCTGTCAAAAGCTGCAGGCGATGACAGAGCTAGCCATGCTCTGTACAGTCTCTGAAAATCGCTATCTGACTTTACCCCGGCCCCTGCAAAACAGCACCCATGTTCTACTTTAGTACATTCCACCACACAATGATAGCCCATTTTACGAAGTTGCAGAGACTCAGAACTCATGCACGCATGGCCTTCAGGAAGATCGGAAGAGCGTCCAGTTGATAATTTTGATAAGGATGTTCATCATAAGTTTGCATGCGAGAAACCACTCGGTCACTCGGTCAATACTTGCTTTGTCAATATGCCTTCTTTGGTTCCTTAAACAATTCATGTTTTCTTTCCCAGTTCTGGGGTGTTCCGGGATGTGCTGGACATACTGAACGCTTCCGCGGCCCTGGCTCAGCTCGCCATAAATTAAACGGTGATCATGGTTCTAGCCTTAGATTCTGAAGAAACAATTTGACAACTTGGAGAGGGATAGGTCTCTGCATACTTGGCCTTCGTTTCACTGACATCCTAGCTGAGTCATCGTTTCTCTTTTCAAACATAGTGCTACTTTGCAAATGCTTTTGACAACCGTCAACAATCACAGGCATCTTGAATCATGATAATCATCTAGATAAATCTAGATTTCGGTTTTCGTTCACTTTGGTGCCCCGGCTGGAACGTCGTTGAACTGCAGAAGCGCGCTCCTGCAGTCGCGGTTGAAGATCACTGCCTGGCCATGCCGTAGCGGCCGTAGCGGCCGTAGCGGCCGTAGCGGCCGTAGCGGCCGTAGCTTGAAGCGGACACAGTCGGAGACACGGGTCCGATCCGATCCGGATCCGATCCGGATCGGTACTGAGACATACTTTGGATATCTTTGGATATACTGAGAATGGCACTATGGCACTCAGTAATTTTCATATCCGTGGTCACAGAATCCCGTCTCAAAATATCTCAAACCTTCACTGATAGTGGTCAAAAGTCTGAAGTTAGCACCGATTCCAAAGGGTGAGGGCAGTAATTCCTCTCTTACCTGGAATCCCTCCATCAACTCCATATGAATTAGTGTCATTTAGTGTCAACATGTGTCCAGAGTTCAGAAGGATTCGTTTATTCAATACTTGAGGGAGGAGTGGTGAAGGAGAGGTAGGTGATGGTTGAAAGTTGAAATATGTTGAAATGCTGATGCCTGCGTACCGGGATTCTGAGGAAGAGAATATGAGATGCACTGATCATGATGGCCCTGGAAGTGAATAAAGTCATGGCGGTGGCAAGTGGGTAGGTGCATGGGCGAGGCACTGGCACTGCCGCTGGCCGTGGTGAGGATTCTTGAAGATGGACTAGAAATTGCCAGAATGATATGATGATCTGAAGATGAGATGATCCAAATACCGACTGAAGATTAAGATTTACTCATATATTAATGATGAATGGAATGAAGACAACCACAAACGCAATGACAACCATGGTAGGTCTCTGGAAGGGGACCCAAAAAGTGCAGAAACCCTAGAGCTTCCCCTTCATACCCCCATACAGCGACAGATCCCTAAGCGGAGTCCACGGATTTTTAAGTGGAGTAGTGGAGTAGAGAGTTTAGGAAATTTAGGGAGCATGAGCTATTCTGTTTACCCATAGACCCGCATCAAGCCAAAAACAAAAAGCACCAGGGCACCAGGGCAAACTTGAGGGGAGTGTAGCATTGTAGGATGAAACATTGAATATCTTGAATATAATTGCATCATGCATGACATGGGAAGAGTGAGCTTTGTCCGTCTCTAACTTTATTTATGAGCCCTCCCTGCAGGCGTGCCGGTGGCATGAGGCTCGTGAAAAGCTTTGCAAAAGCCTGCACTGCACAAGTCATCTCAATGTGTGATCAGTTGGTGATCATGACTGGCTCCTGTCCATTCCACAAATATCGATCAAATGGATCAAATGGATCAAATGGATCAAATGGATCAAATGGATCAAATGGATCAAATGGATCAAATGGATCAAATGTCCAAAAGCAAATAAGATGTGCAAAAGGATCATTTCAAGACAAGAAGCTTCGATTCCTTTTTTTTGCCACCGTTCACCTCTTGTCACATGAGTTGACATGGCTTTTCCACCTCCGTGCAGCTTGGATCTGAACATTTGGCGCGAGCGAACCGCTCCACCACCTTCGTCTTTCAGAGAACTTGAAGAATCTTTCTTTCAGAGACAATGCGCAAGGCTATGCAAGGCTATGCAAGGCTATGCAAGTCTCTTTCAAAGCTGTCATCTTTCTCGATTCGCATGACACGGAACAGAAAAGCTATTTTCCCTTTCAAAGCTCTAGTAGCACCATGCAAATGATACTTTTTTTCTATCATGTCCAACCGATTAAAATGGTTGCGGTGTATCCATGAGGCACCGTATTTTATGCTGCCTGGAAACATCAAGACCGGAAGCCTCTCCGGTCCATGCAACAAGTGTTCCCACTTCAGAATCAGGGACAACTGAAAGTGAAGGTGATTGAAAAACTGGGCCATCCGGCACAGATCAACTGCCGTGTCGGCAAGCGCACCTTGGACAGAGGTAAAGCAGGGTCAATGAAGATGATCATGCAGAATTCCGACCACATTCCAAAATGTCAAAATGTCCAAAATGTCCAAAATGTCTATGTCACTTTCATGCTGACTGTGGTGACTGTGTTGACTGTGTTGGCATGAAATCTAACATATCTCTGTCACACAATTTGGCCGCTGTTTCTCATCCTGAGCCCTAAACCAATCCGCTCATCAAAAGCCGATGAAAGAGCTCAATACCTGCAGCTGAATCAGCAAAGGATAGCCACCACAATTATAATCTGTAGCAGTTCACCTCATTGCAAAAGCACGTGGAAACATTTTCACTGCACGATTCATCCTTGCTGGTTTTCATCATTTTCCCTCACGGGTGATTATGTCAGGCCTATTTACTTCAACGGGATGTGGAATCTAAAGTAAATTGATGTAAATTGTTTGTAAGCCAGATTACAGACAGGATTGTTGAATCGAATGGTACAGTATAGCATCAGTAACCACGGCCGAATGGATTGAATGGATTCCACCAGCATGTCATTGATTCACATTGATTCATTACGGTGTTTTGCTGTGTCTTTTTCCCTTTCAGATCTTTCAGGCTCGGGCTTAACG